AAAAAAAAAAAAAAAAAACAAGCATTTTAGTAAAACCTTGGGTCCCTTTGGCATTTGCCATTATACACTGATTTCCTCACTATCCCTGAGTTCATTTATATAAATTTTCATTTTCAAATATTTAATTCTATGTACCATTCATCAACTATAATAGTTTTGGTTCTAGTTTCTGTGAATTGTCAGTTATTTCTTTGGAGCTAATTCAAAACAGGGACACTAAGGGTTGGGTAGAGAAAGGGGAAGGTAAATGGGTAGTAGAACAGAAGTAGAAGTTGGGCTTTTTGTTTTGTTTTCTTTCTCCCCCTCTTTTTTTTTTTCTTTTCTTTTCCACATTGTAGCCTACGAGAAATTTTTAGTAATAATAACAATACCCAGGATTTAACAACCTTACTATGAAGCAAGCACTGTGCTGAACACTTTATATGCAGTATGTCATTTAAGTATAATAAAAATCACTTTATATATGAAAAAATTGAAGTTTAGAGAAGTGAAATATCTTGGCCATTATGTAAGTAGCAAATAGCAGGGTTAGAATTCAAAGCAAGAGCTAACGGACTTGAGAATTTAGTCTTTATATTGGATGTGATGGCACATGCTTGTAATTCCAGCGAGTTGGGAGGCTGAAGTAGGAGGATCAGAATTTCAAGACCAGCCTCGGCAATTTAGTCAGACCCTGTCTCAAAATTAAATAAAAAGGGCTAGGGATGTAGCTCAGTGGTAAAGCACTCCTGAATTTAATCCCCAGTCCAAAATATATGTATATATATTATATATATAATCAGTCCTTTAGTTATTACTTCAGGGTCGCTCCAGACAGTAAATGTAGGAATATAGATCTAAAGATTTTTCCAGGGTAGGGGAAGAAGATATGTGAAGGAACATAAGTGATACATAAGGATCAGAAGTCAATAGTTATAAAGTTAGGAAAATGATGTCTATTTGGATGAAAGACCAAACAGGAGGGGAAAATGCCTTTCTCATATATTATCTCCACCAAACTAAACTGAAGGAGGATTGATCCTGGAATATTTTCAGGAATGATAAACTGGTAAATTGAAATTAATTTTATATTTATTTATATAAGTTTAATGTCATGATTTTTCTTTATTTTATATTGCCTTTATTGTTCTGTGCTTCTGGAAATTTTAAAAAATAAAGGTTTTACAAAACATTTACGGATTTTTCTAGATTCACTGGGAATTTATATCCACTGTACTCTTCTCCCCATAAGATCTGAATCTCCTCAGTCACAGGTCAATCTCCATGGAGGTTATCATAAATCTTACTGCATGAGTGACTGGACTCATTTTTTAATATCTCCATGTTACAATGAACATGTGTTTAGCTTCTTATGACCAGTATTCGCTACTTATTTACCAGATAGCCTAGTGTTTTCCATCTCTGTTTTAATCCAAAGAATCTCAACTTACATTTTTCTGCTAACATCTAAGCCTAACTAGAGAAGTTTGTTTTTTTAAACAGAACGAAGGGCTGTCACTTTAATAGAAGTGGAGCCAAAATGCATCCCGGTAATACCTCAATACTCTTTTTATTGTAACTTGAGGGTTTCTTTTAAATTTTCTAATTGACACATAAAATTGCACATTTATGAGGTGCTGTGTGATGTTCAACACGTGTATATTGTATAATATTCAAGTCAGGATAAACATCTGTTTAAACATTTAATTGTTTCTTTATGAGAACTTAGTTTTAAATTTCTTGCCTCTGAAAATTTATGGATATGTATAGCAGATGTATACCTTTTGAGGATCCCTAGAAGACCATATATACACTGCTTCCAAATTTCTCTCACTACAATAGACCATTGCCGGCATCAAGAATGGAAAATAAAGGAATCCATGGGCCAAAAAATTCCCATTGTCTGAGTGCTTTCTTGTGTGGAGTTAGCAGTGACCTCAGTCAGAAACAGATTCCTCACAACTTCACAGCCTCTCCTTTCTATGTAATACAAAGTTGCTGGATTCCCACTTTGATGGAGAGGAAAGAGCGAAGACATTGGTGATGAACTGAGGTTGAATTGTAGCTCTGCAGTTTGTAAACTGTGTGAAACTTGAACATATTTCTGCTTGTGCAATTACTTATTCACCCATAAAATATGAATGGTAAACCTTATAGGCTTATTAAACGGATTAGAAATAACATAAATAAAATGCTGGATACTATGCCTGGTTCATTGTAAATAAAACATCTGTTAATAAAGGGAGACTTCATAGGATCTCCAGAATATTTTTTTCCATTATTATTCAGTGATTCAAAAGGTGGTGCAGTGTGATGGTTAATAGCATAGGCTATGAAATCACTTTGTTTTCAAATCTCAGTTCAATCATTTACTATTTAACATTGGTCAAATTAACCTCCCTCTGTCTCTTTCTTATGCAAAATAAAGACTATAAACTGATGCCATGTTTTAATCCTCCTTGAGCACCTACTCTGCTAAGCACTAAGGTACAGAATAGCATCTGTGAAGAATTAAAGAATTAAATATAGCAACATGTGAAGTTAAGAATGTCTAGGCCTGTATTAAAAATTTAATCATGCTTCAGAGTTGATTTTTTCCTTAAAATGACAGGGTTTTGTTTTTTTTACCTCTTTCTCTCTTTTATATGAAATGTTTAAGTGTTTGTAATTAAATATCTCTTTGCTTCTAAAGAGGCACAAGGAGATGAAATATACAAGTATGTTCTGAAAGAACATAGGCCCATTCTGATCCTTTGCTGTTTTTCAGTGTCACTGCAAAGATTAAAGCCATTGAAGCAAAGCTGAAAATGATGGCAGAAAATCCTGATGCAGAGTATCCAGCAGCACCTGTTTATTCCTACTTTAAGCCTCCAGATAAAAAAAGGACTACTCCTTATTCTAGAACAGCTTGGAAATCTCGAAGATGATGGTTGTGAATTACTGTGGCAGCAAAAGCAAATTGGTCTCCACACCTGACTCCTCTGCCTTGGTACTTTGTAGATGTGGACGGTACTATCCAACAGAGCACAATCACATGTTAGAGTTTGGTAACATAACATTTTGGATGTTCTTATGGATGTGTCTTCCCTGAACTATGTGTAGAATTGAGCATCATCCAGAATAAATAGGATTGTGTCCAAAATTTTGATTTGAACACTGGGATGCTCTAGTTGGCTGGTTTGTTTGGATTCTTAACTACAGAAACATTATATA